TGGTAGAGCGCTCGCCTTGAGCCGAAGAGCTGAGGGACAGCACCCAGGCCCAGAGTTCAAGCCCCACGGCCGACAAAAAAAAAAAAAAAAGGACAGAAGAGGAGCTAAGGCTCAAGTGAGAGAGCACCAGCTGTTAGTGAAAAAACTAAGTGACAGTGTCCAGGCACTGAGTTCAAAAGCAATGGGGAAGCCGGGCGCCAGTGGCTCCCGCCAGTAATCCTAGCTACTCAGGAGGCTGAGATCCGAGGCTAGATGGTGACTCAAAGCCAGCCTGGTAGGAAAGTCCGGGAGACTCTTATCTCCAATTAACCACCAGAAAAAACTGAAGTGGCACTGTGGCTCAAGTGGTAAAAACTCACCTTAGCTGAAGAGCACAGAGGCAGTGCCCAGGCCCAGAGTTCAAGCCCCACAACTGACCAAAAAAAAAAAAAAAAAAGTAGTGGGGGAGGGGAGAGAACTAAACTTCATAAGAAATACACAATTGAAACTACAGTATGCTACTGGTTTTCTCCCAAACTGGCAAACCTAGAAGTATAACATACTGCTGCTGAAGCTGTAACAAAGAATAAATCCATACACTGCAGTTGGCTGAAGGTTTAATTATCTTGTGTTAGTAGTTTAAAAATAGTAGCTTCCTTCTTCCCACAGGTAGTTGCTATGACATCAGTGTGCGTGGGATAAATGAGGACCAAGTGGCCTCATTATAAGTTTCCTCAGCCCTTCCCTATTCCCTAATACCTTTGTCACATCCTAGTGGGTTAAAACAAAAAGTATCCTCCATAAAATTCATGTCTACCCAGAACTTCAGAATGTAACCTTATTTGGAAATACGTTTCTGCAGACTTTAAAGATTGAGATGGGATCATGCTGCATTAGAGTGAACCCTAAATCCTATGAGTGTCCTAATAAGGCAGAAAATAGGACAAAGAAGACTGTCCTGTGAAGACTACAGCAGAGACTGGAGTTATGGCAGCCATAAGCTCAGGAATTCAAATGATGCCAGGAACCACCAGGAGTGGCAAAAATTATTCTCTAGAGCCTGCAAGCCATCATAATGCTGCCGATAACCCTGATCTTGTATTTCTCCCTGCCAAATTGTGGAAAATAAATTTCTGGCGCTGGGAATGTGGTTTGGTGGTAGGGTGCTTGCCTAGCATGCATGAAGCCCTGGTTTCAATTCCTCAGAACCACATATCAGAAAAAGCCAGAAACCACGCTGTGGCTCCAGTGGTAGAACACTAGCCTTGAGCAAAAGCAGCTCAGGGGAGGGGGGACCAAGATGGCGACGGGGCAGTAGGGAAACGCCACAGCTCTCTCTAACCAAAAAGAGAGTTCGAGTTCCAACGCTTAATCTCCCCAAGAGACCGACAACAACAAAAAGACGAACACTCAGAGAAAAACCAGAGGTGGAAAATAACAAAAAAAGAGAGGAAAAGAAGAATTTCAGAACAGAGAAGAGCGAAGACCCCTCCCCCAACCTTTACTGGCCGCGCGGCAGAGCGCCAAGCCGCCGGTCAGCCGGCCCGGCAGGGGCTGCCGGAGCCCCAGAGACACAGGGGGTCAGCCGGCCCGGCAGGGGCTGCCGGAGCCCCAGAGACACAGGGGGCCGCTCGCAGATACCAGGTACCGGTTCGCAGAACAGCAGATCGCCAGGAACAAAGAAACCTACCAGCCTGGATTCTCCACGAGGATCCCACCCCCACCCCTCACTCTCCACCGGAGTGGAGAGGCTCCATCCCGCCAAAGCCGCCCGGCACCAGCAGCGTGACAAAGGAACCTGTCGGCAGACCACCCACCAGATCGCAATCTCAACGACCCGGCGGGGGCCGCCCAACCCAGCCCGCAACCACCCCAACTGAACTCGGATTGCAACAACAACTGACGACCTACACCACACAGAAACAACCAGCTCCAGGAATCAGCAACCAAGCAAAGACAGACACACCAAAACAAAATTGAAGAGCAGTCTCCTGAAC